TAAAGTCTGAGTTATCCATATTGGAGGAGGAGATATAATGCGATCGTTTCTCTCTCTATAAGGTCTTTCTGGCTTTGAAATCAAAAGATCAAAGGCAAATGAGTCTATGGAAAATTAATGAGAGCTGAATACTGCACGTAGTTAATATGCTTAGTTAACTCAGGCAGCAAGAAGGAACTATGGGGCCCTTTATCACACAGGATAAAGTCCCCCCCCCCCCCCCCACCGGCGAGGGGCTCCTTACAGCCCTCCTGGACCGAGCGTCCAAGGCATCGCGACAGGCCCTGCCCGCAGAAAGCATGGCCCTAAGGCGATGGGGCCCCTCAGAGGGAGCTGGGAGCAGGGTGGGGGCCAGGGCCTCCTGGCGGCCAGGCGTGGGAGCAGGGGCGACCGCAGTCCCGGAGCAGGCTCGGAGGACTCTCGGGGGTCTGTCCTTCGGGGGAGGATGCCCTCTCCGGTGGCAGGGTGGACGGAGCTTCCTGTTTTGAGGGCCGCCATCCGCAGCCAGGCCAGCAAACTGAAAAGGGAGGAACGGTATCGCGGGCTAAGATAGCCGGGCGGCCTGCTTCTGGCTGCAGACTGATAGCAACCCGGGAGAAGCACTGGGGAGTCGCCACTCTTATTTCGGAGGGAGAAGTGGGACTTCCTATTTGAGGCCCTCGGGAGGAGGGACTTCCCGTCCGGGAGGAAACTGGGGGTGGGACTTCCCAAGTGGCTGAGTGGGTGCTGGAGGGACCCATCGCGTCTTGCCTTCCCCTGGTGTGGCGTCCCCTTCCCTGAATCAAGGCCCGAGGCCCGCCTGAGGAAGGGGCCCCGAGGCACCCGGGCGAGCAGGGTCCCTCAGAGGAAGGAGAAAGGGTGGCAGGAGCCAGGGGGATGGAGGGCGAGGGGGCGGCCGGGCAGGGTTGGGCGCCGGCTTCAGTGCTCCAGGCTCTCTGGAATGTGCGAGGTGTGAGGTCGGCCAGGGCCAAGAAAGCCACCTGCCCCCCTGGCTGCTATTCTCAGCGCTTCCCACCCTCTCCCCCTCCCACTGGGGAGGTTCCCTGGCAAGAAGTCTCCCCGTCCCTCCCCCACCCCTGCTGGTTTCCTAGCCCAGCCTCCTGCTGTCTGTCTGAGAAGGTTCTGCCTCCCAAGGCCTCCTGGCTCCATTCTTTCTGGTTCGTCCTCTCCCTCGGTCCCACCCCCTCTGCGCCCCAGTCTGACCCGTGCAGCGCCCAGCCTCCACTTTACCCTGCTGTGCTCCGAGGCTCTGGGGCTCTGTTCCAGCCCGGCCCCTCGAACCCCACCCTGCTGGGCCAGGAGGTTTGGGTCGGGCCCCCGCCTTACCCCCCAGCCCAGGAATGGTGTGTATAGATCCCACCTCGCCTTTGTGAGGCGCCTGGAGCTGGCTGGAGAACAGGGTCCGAGGGGCGTGGGCGGTCCCTTTTTAGAGGAAAAGCAGGCTGAGGTATTGAGTGCTTGCATCCCAGGCAGGGAGTTGAGGACTCCTGCCCAATCCCTGAATCTCGGAGTGGGAGAACAGAGGGGTTGCCGGTGAATTCGGGCTGCTCATGTGCTCTGGGTTGGAAGATCTTTGGGGTCCCCAACAGGGCCTGGGAGGCAGCAGGTAGTTGGTCAAGGTGTGAATAAGTGGATGGAGGGATGAATGGATGGGTGGATGGGTGGATGGGTGGATGGTAGAGCCTGGAAGATCCAGGCTTTACAGGGCGTAGGTCCCAAGGACTCGGGAAAGGAGAGGTACATTTATTTATTTATTTTTATTTATTCGTTTATTTTTTGAGTTGGAGTCTCACTCCGTCGCCCAGACTGCAGTGCAGTGGCCGCTCCCGGCCACCGCAGCCTCGACCCTCTGGGCTCCGGCGATCCTTCCGCCTCCGCCTTCCAAGTAGCTGGAACTACAGGCGCGCGCCACCACGCCCGGCTAATTTTTTGATTTATTGTAGAGATGAGGTCTTACAAGTTGCGCAGGCGGGTCTCAAACCTGCGGGCTCAGGCAATCCACTCACCTCGGCCTCCCAAAGTGCTGGGATTACAGGCTGAGCCACTGAGCCCAGCCAGGAGAGAGACATTTATTTACCCAGGGCTGCCTCTTTCTCATGTCATCACAAAAGCAATTCCCTACTGTACAAGCGAAGAATTTTAGACTCAGAGCAGGAGCGTTTTAGAAACCGACCCAAGGTCACCCAGCTAGTTAGTGGCCGGACTGCAGTCAGATCCTGGATCTGACCCCGAAGCCACACCCACTCTACTCTCCTACTGGGATACCTGAGTTCCAGAAGAGGAGTGACCGTGGTTTCTAGATGCCCTTTCTCTCTAGGACAGAGTCAGGGACAGCTCTCCTACGTGGGGGCAAGGAGCCAGCCCTCTTCGTCCCCCCTGGCGTGACCCCGCCCCGCAGGCAGCACAGATCCGGGAGGTAGTGTAGACAGGGCAGCCGGATGCCACATCGCTGGCCTCAGGCCCAGCGCCTGGGGGATCCTCAGAACACATCAGAGGGAGCAGGGCTGGCCCGTGTCCCCAGGACCCAACCTTCCCGCCTCTGCCAGGTGGCCTGCTTCTTCGCCTGAGCCTCGTGCTGAGGCTGTCCTGTTTGACCTTCAAAGAGGGAGACCAGCCTTTAGGGCTGTCCCTGCCCCGGACCCGAGGGTCCTGCAGGGACAGAGTCCCCAGTTGTACCCGTCGTGGACAGGACAACTCCAGGGGGTTCCCGCATGCTTGGAGTCAGTCGACGCTTTTCGTCACGACAGTTTTCTGGGAGATGGCAGTCACTGTCCTGCGGAGAGGGGCATTCTGTCGCAGTTCACACAGACTAGCTTTTGGGCTTGTGGTGAATGTTGATCCTATCCGTCCAACCCCAGGCTTCCTGGTCCCGACCCTGCCGGAGGATTCTAGCACGGTGCCCATGGCCCCTCACTCAGGGATTCTCAAGGGGAGGGCTTGGGTCGCCAGAGTCCTGGTCCCTGGAAGTGTCAGTGTTAGAATGTCACAGTGGAAAGTGCTGTCAAAGCCTCTCCAGCGCTAGACAAACAGGAGATAGTCATCGATCGGCCAACACGTGTTTATTGTTGTATCATTCCTCTCTTTCTGGCGAGAATGAACAACTTACTTGGCACCTTTCCGCGAGTGTCCGCCAAGCAGAGCCAACGTTCCGGTTCCTGTGCGTTTGCCCCCCTTGGGTTTCTGCGCGTCTGTGTTTCAGGGGCCAGGGTGGAGAGGTATTGGGTTTTCTGTGGTGGCCCAGTCTCCACCCAGGTGTTGACTGAAACGGCTTGAAAACCGGCTGCCTCTCCCGCTGGCTGGCCCACCGGCCACTCACTGCTTCTCCTCTCCCCCTCAGCCCCAGGAGCCCCGGGTGTCCTTCCCCGTACCCCACCCCGTCCTGCTTGCTCAGGCCTGGTCACCCCTTTGGCGGCTCCACCTGTCAGCACCTTCTGCACCCAGAGCTTGGTTGAGAAATGGAAAATTCCCAGCTCCCTTCCCGGCTGCAGGGCCTCATCCCCGGGTCACCTTGAATCGAGGGCCGATCCCCCCGCAGGGAGGCAAGTTGGAGCTGGCAGCCGGGAGGGAGGGCTTCCAAGGGGGGACACGACGCGGCCTGCGGGGCCCCTGCTGGCGAGGGGCTCGGGCGGGGGTGCAGGGCAGGACTGGTGCTCCCCCGGCACCACGGGGCAGGCGGGGCGGAGGCCCGGCCCAGGGGCTGAGGCTGAAGCCAGAGGAGGGGCAAGGAGCCCCAGGGCAAGGCAGGAGCCTGGGCCTGGGCGGTGGGAGAGGGAGCCCTGGCGGCGGGGTGGGCCGCGAGGGCCTGTGCCGTCCCTTGGCCACAGAGAGGGGCCTACCAGGTTCTGGGCCCCGAAGCCCAGCGTCCTGGGCCAGCCCGGAGCCCCGCCTTGGGGGCTGCTGAACCAGGCCTGAGTCGCCCTCTGGTGTCCACGTGACAAACTGCAGCCGGACTCGCTCCCGGCTGCTCAGCCTCCGCTGGCTCCAAAGCCCCTGTTCCCGTTCCAGACAACTTCTCCCCCCTCCTGATCCCCGGGTCCCTCTGAGACCCCAGGCCCAGGTCCCAGGTCCACGGGCTGCGTTTGTCTTGCTGGGCTCTGGGCTCCCTGCTGTTGCCACGGCAACCTCTCCCCTGACTCCTGCCCTGGGCGGTGGGACGTCAGGGGCCCTCTGACCCAGGCCCGGGGGTCCCCCGCGTTTCAGGCTTTGTGCTTTTTCCTGCCGGGGTGTGCTCTCGGCCAAGGAAGACCGCCAGCACCAGCACGTCAGAAGCGCCCCCGTCCCAGCTCCCTCCACTGTCTTCCCATGGCCTGGAGAGCACTGGCCAAGAGGGGCAGGATGGGGAGAGGCCTTGGAGGGTCAGGCCCTTCCTCACCCCCCACAGGCTTTTGCCCCCAACCCCTCTTAAACCCAGGCTTTTACCCCCAGCCCCTCCCCCAGCCCGGCGACCAGCTGACTTCTCTCCCGGCCCTCTCCCCTCCACTCTGGGACTGGTGCCAGGGTGAGAAGGGGACACTGGCACTGCCCGTGTCTGGGAATTCCCGCCCACCGAGGAGCCAGTGGGAGGGGGGTCCCCGTGTCCCCAGGAGCCAATGGCAGCCAGGCCTTGCCCGGGGGGGCGGCGTATATCTCTCAGGCCAGCACCCCCAGGCACTGTCTCCTCTCTGCCTGCCTGGCACTAGCCAGGCCCTGCTCTGCCCGGGGGGCTCCGGGCCCCCCAGGCACCCCCTTTGACACAGCCCTCTCCCCTGGGAGCCCTGAGGACCTTCTTCCTTTCGGGGATGGCCCAGCCGGGGGTCTCGGTCAAGTCCCTGGTGTCATCTTATGAGACCCGAGTGGTGGGGGCGGCGCCAGGGCCACCCCGGAAAAGGGGCTGTGTCTCTTCCCCGTGCTCCCCTCGGGGAGCATCTCCCATCCGAGGGGCATCGGGACCCCTACCGCCCCGGGGCCTGGGGGGACCCGGGCAGCGGCCCTCAGCCCGCCGGGGGATGGACACAACCCTCCTCTCCCTGATTCTGTGCTGCCACAGGTACAGGGGAGCATGGGCGGGGGCTGCAGCGAGCGGGGCTTCTGGAGGGGCCAGAGCTTGCTCCAAGAAAGCAGCACCTGGGACGGCTCCTGCTCCCCTCTCACCTCCCTGTGTTTCTCCAGTGGCTCCGGAAGCCTGGTTGGCATTGACAACAAGATCGAGCAAGCCATGGTAAGAGAAGCCATCTTGGTCCCGGGAGGTCCCGGCCCCCTTTGTGTCTGCCCTCCCTCCACTCCCCTTATTCCTAGAGAACCCAACTCCCAGCTCCTGGGCCCACCCCTGCCGGGCTCCCCCGGGGCCCTCGGCCCCCTCCCGTCTCCACCCCAGTCCTCGGACTCCGCTCGGCGCCCAGGCCAGCGGCTGGCCCCGCAGCTCCGTCTTGGAGCCCCAGTTCTGCCCCTGCCCGTGCCCTGGCCTCCGGCTCTTCTGTGCTGTTCCTTGTCCTGCGGGCACAGGGGACGCTCTCGAGGCCCTGGGCAAGGGAGGAGGCTGGGGTGGCCCGGCCCCCCTGACGCCGTGCTTGCCCCGGCCCCCAGGACTTGGTGAAGTCCCACCTCATGTTTGCGGTCCGGGAGGAGGTGGAGGTGCTGAAGGAGCAGATCCGGGACCTGGCTGAGCGGAATGCCGCGCTGGAGCAGGAGAACGGACTGCTGCGTGCCCTGGCCAGCCCGGAGCAGCTGGCCCAGCTGTCCTCCTCGGGGGTCCCGCGGCTCGGGCCCCCCGCGCCCAACGGGCCCTCCTGAGCCTCCCTCCCCTCACAATGTGCCTTTGGGGCCGCCAGGCCTCGTGCCAGCTGCCTGCCCCTCTTCCTATGCAGCTTTAATGCCCCTGGCCCCCAGGATGGGAGTTCGAGGCTCGCCGTCACCCGGCCCCCACCCTGCTCCGTTCTCCCCATCGTCCGGGCCTGGTGGAGGAGGGAGGGCTTCAGGATGGGGCTTCCCCAGCCTCCTCCGTGAGGGATCCGGCCCCTCCTCCCCCGTAGGACTTCCAGCGGTCGATGGCCTGGGGGAACCGGAAACTCCGGCAGACACCCCACCCCCCCTTTTCCCCTCGACGTGCCCCCTCTCCTGTGCCCCCCGCCATCCCGGGGAAGGGAGTATGGACAATATCTGGAAGTTCTGGGATTCAGGTTGTGATGAAAATAATAATTAAAAATACGGAAGAAGCAGGAAGCTGGAGTTGGCATCTCGTTGCTGGTGTCAAGCCTGGGGGCCGGGCCGCCGTCTGGGCTCCCCGGGAGGTTTAACGCTTTAACGAGGCAGAGGGGTCGGGCCCTGCGGGAAAGGGGACCCGGCCGTTCGGGTCCTGGGAAGGGGCAGGCGAGGCAAGCAGGGGAGTGTGTGTTGGGGGGGTCGCCCACGTGCTGGCGGGGGGAGGGAAACAATGGGGCCTTTGGTGATCATGCAGGATCCACCCCCGGCTTCCCAGCGTGTCCCCTCTGCGGGCTGGATCCGGGTGGCTGCCTGGGGGTGGGGCGGGGGGCTCTGAATGGGCCCCTTGTCTCAGGGCTGGGCGTGGGCCAGGCTCCCTGGGCACACGGTGCCCTCGCCAGGCCTGGCCGGCCGCCGCAGCTTCCGCCCCCAGCTGGCTGAGGCCGGCCCTGCGGGTGAGCGGCCGCCCCGGCCGCCTCGGCTCCGGCCGCGCGGAAGAGTCAGCTGGGGGAAGGCCCCCTCTAGTGGGGGAGAGGGACAGCCGTGGCCACAGCCCGTAGAGGCCCCTGGAAGGAGCGGAGGGCGCCAGGGCCAGTCGCGACTGTGGCAAAGCCAGCTCCTCGGAGGCTGACCTGGGTTGCGCTCCCGGCCTTAGGGCGTCCCAGATTTGTGACCTTGGGCAAGTTCTTTGGTCTTTCTTTCTTTTTTTTCTTTCCCTTGAGAGAGGGTCTCGCTCTGTCACTCAGGTTGGAGTGCGGTAGCGCAATCATAGCCCAGGGCAGCCTCCAACTCCCGGGTTCAAGCGATTCTCCTGCCTCAGCCTCTGAAGTAGCCGGGACTCCAGGCTCACGCCCCGCCTGTCTTTTAATTTTTCCCCAGCTGAGGTCTCACTACGTTGTCTTGGCTGGCCTCAAACTCCTGGCCTCAAGCGATTCTTCCGCCTCAGCTTCCCAAAGTACTGGGATCGCCGGTGGGACACTCTTGGTTTTCCCAAATCTCCTATTTCTCTTGGGCAAAATGGCACAGACAAGGGTACTTCCCTGAGGAGCTGTTGCGAGGTCTACGTGACATGCTACTACGTGGAAAATGCCTCGCAGATACTAGGCCCTCCGCGCATGTCAGTTTCCTGTCCCTGGATCTGAGGGCAGAGGGCTGAGAGCAGAAGGGGCGGGCGGCCCGGTCTTGGAAGGGCCTTGGGGGTGGGGGTCACAGAGCCCGCAGGCCCTCACAATGGGCTAGAACTCTCCCGGCCTGTAGGTTCTCACCTACCGGGACGCCTCGCCCTCTCCCAGGAAGGGGAGGAAAGGCCTGGGATGAATCGCGGGGGGTGGCTTTCCCCCTGAGCCCCCCATTTCCTCCTTCCCCACTGTGCTTGAGGCTCCTCAGCTCTCAGGAGACCGGGCGGCCACCAGTGGCCTGTAGCCCACCCCCCACCCCCAGCGTGCCAAATGCTGGCTCTGCCCCCGGCTCTGACTTCAGCGCCTCGCGGGACATGGCTGTCGTCATGAGGTTCTTTCGGCTGCTTAAGCGGGCTTGGCAAAAGATTACTTCCTGGGTGAGTTGCAGAGATCTCCCCGTCCTCCTGATGTGCTGGGATGAGGGTGGTCATCCATCATTCCTCAGCAGCTCCCTACGGAGCAGCCTCCCTCCCCTCCTGGCCGCCTGTGGCCCAACGAGACAGGGTGGAGGAGAGGAGGGGTGGACAGCTGGGGAGGGGCTGGAGGGGAAGACGGCCACAAAAGCCGCGGCCCCATCCTTTGGTGCCGTCCCTGCTGTGGACTGTTGTCTCCTCCGCCTTGTCCCTCTCTCCTCTCTGTGTCCTGGATCTTAGGTTTTCTTCTGGAGACGCAAAACTAAGTTAACCGTCACGGGGCGCTCTGGCTCCAAGAAGTGCGCAGGGAGGGAGGCAGAGGAGACTTCCAAGACAACTGAGACGTTCAAGTTGGTCCCGTCCCTCGGAGAGGCCACGCTCCCCGAGCTGGATGAGTGTCGCAAGCTGGCTGAGCCCTGCGTGCTGGCCAAGGCAATAGGCGGGACCGAGCTGGAGCCGGGCCGCGAGGGCCCATCTTTCCTGCGGCTGCCCCAGACAGCTGTCCGGTCTGTCTCCACGCTCATGGTCTCTGCCCTGCAGACTGGATGGCAGATGTGCAGCTGGAAGGTCAGCACTGTCCCCTGGTTCCCAGGCCACCTCCCAGTCCCCACTGTCTCGTCCATTCTCTTGTTCAACCATTGTTTCCTGAGCCTGTACTGAGCTCCAGGCACTGGGGCTACAATGTCGAATGAGATTTCCAGACTTGGGCAGGAAGGAGGCTATGGACAAGATAACAGGCATTGTTGGTTTAGCGTCCACACGTCCTGTTGACTTCGAGGTCGAGGGGCCTGTGGGAGCCCAGGGACGGACATCTCACCCAGGCCTAGGGGGACAGGCGAGGCCTTCCTGCCAGAATGAAGCTGAGATGCAAAGGTGTCAGCTTGGCTTGGCCGGGGGCCTGTTAGGGGAAGGTGCAAAGGCGGCAGTTTTCCAGAAAGAGAATAGCAGGTGTGTGCGGAGTTGTCCCCAGGTGTGTGGGTCCGAGTGGAACGGTCCTGAAGCCATGGGTCCGCTTGTACTAGGCAGGGTGCGTGGCCAAGTTGTGGCCTATGGATTTGACCCTAAGAGCAATGGAAGACCTTGAAGATGTTTGAGCAAAGCAGTGACATGATCAGATTTTGATTTAGAAAGCTTACCTGCACTTATACATTGTGGTGGGATTGTAAAATGGTACAGGCACTCAGGAAAAAAGGATGGTGGTTTCTTATAAAAGTAAGCATGCAAGCTGGGCTTGGTGGCTCAGCCTGTAATCCCGCGCCTTTGGGAGGCTGCGGTGAGTGGATGGCCTGAGCCCGCGGGTTCGAGACCCTCCTGGGCAGCGAGACCTCATCTCGACAATAAATAAAAAAACCAGCCGGGCGTGGTAGTGCATGCCTGTAATTCCGGCTACTCGGAAGGCTGAGGCGGAAGGATCGCCGGAGCCCGGCAGGTCGAGGCTGCGGTGGCCGGGAGCGGCCACTGCCCTCTAGTCTGGGCGACAGAGTGAGACTCCAACTCAAAAAAAAAAAAAAAAAAAGTAAGCATGCAGTTATCATAAGACCCAGCAGTTGTACTCTCGTTCCAGATAAATGAAATACTATGTTCGCACAAAGACCTGTATGTGAGTGTCCAACTTTAATTATAACAGCTAAAATCAACCTAAATACCCTTCAGTGAGTGGTTAAACTGTGATATAGCGATAGCCTGGGATACTATTCAGCAATAAAAAGAGACAAATTACTACTATTACTATTACTTTTGAGTTGTGGTCTCACTCTGTAACCAGGCTGGAGTGCAGTGGCACAATCAAGGGTCACCACAGCCTCGACTTCCTGGGCTCAGGCCATTCTCCCTCTGCTCCTAAGTAGCTGGGGCTACAGGTGCACGCCACCATGCCAGGCTTATTTTTTTATTTTTTATTTTTAGAGACAAGGTCTTGCTATGTTGCCTAGGCTGGTCTCGAACTCCTGGGCTCAAGTGATCCTCCCGCCCCAGGCCTTCCAAAATGCTGGGATTACAGGTGTGCCCAGTCAAAAGACAAATTATCGAACCGGGCTTGGTGGCTCAGCCTGTCATCCCAGCGCTTTGGGAGGCCGAGGCGAGT